ATAGAAAAATAATCATATAATAATAATAACAAAAATAATACTAATGCTGATAATTCCATTGAGGTGAGTTTGCTGTATAAAACCCATTTATTTGACCCCATTTGCTGCCTCATTGTGCAGATTTAATTTCATTTTTTTCAGCAAGAAAATGATGCAGAAATCAAAGCCCAACTTGGTGGGTGTTTGGAGCCTTGGTGGATTTTAGTCTGGGGAGTTTCCTTTGGGGAAAAGCAGCTCCCTTTTCCTTTCTCTTCTCTGGGGAAAGAAGAATTCTCCAACTTTTCAGCCCAGGAACATTGAATTATTGCAGAGTTTTGAGAAATTATTTGATTTCTGTAGCCCTGTCTCTCAGAGCTTGTGAAATACAAATATTTTGGCAGCAAAAATCCTTTTTTCTGCAGTTTTACACTTTTGGCTGAGGAAATAAATTCTTCAAATCTTCGAATCGAGGAGGGTTGAAATCTTGTAGTGCTTTGAGGAATCAAACAATTCCTGTAACCCCAGCTCTCAGAGCTTGTGAAATATTAATATTTTGGCAGCAAAAATCCCTTTTTCTGCAGTTTTACACCTTTGACTTGGGGACAAAAGAATTCTCCAACTCTTCATCCCATGAGTGTTGAATTCTTGCAGTGGTTCAAGAAATCAAACAATTCCTGTACCCCCAACTCTAAGAAATTGTAAAATACAAATATTTTAGCAGCAAAAATCCCTTTTTCTGCTAAAGTTTTCCACCTTTGACCCTCAGGTTGCAGGAGCCAGGGAGGGAAGGGTCTCTGCAGAGGGATCTCCACCTGCTGCCCCCAGGGAGCTGCTGGGAATTGGCTTTTCCCAGAAAAACAGGGGAAAATTGGGAAAAAACTGGGAAAAACTGGGAAAAAACTGGAGAAAATGGGAAAAAAACGGGGGGAAAATGGGGGAAAAAGGAGAAACTGGGAGAAAAATGGGGAAAAAATGGGAAAAAACTGGGAAAAGCTGGGAAAACTGGGAAAAAACCTGGGGAAAATGGGAAATAATGGGGGGAAAACGGGGGAAAAAATGAGAAACTGGGAGAAAAATAGGAAAAAAAGGGAAAAAAACTGGGAAAAGCTGGGGAAACTGGGATTTGTGAGTCCTTCAGGCACCAGAAGGAAAGAGATTTTTCTCCCTGGCAGTCAGCACGGATAGAATTGAACAAATGTCACCCCAGGAGAGGTTTTTGTTTTTATTTTTTTCCTTGTAAACCCATTGTGTCTCCATTAAAGGAGAAGGGAAAGGCTTCCCTCCAGCCCCTACACCTTGAGCATCCTCCCCAGCACACAAAAATAAAACACAGCCCTCCTAAAACAGGGGCTGGATCTCCTGTACTTTGCTCTGCCTGCATTTCAGCCTTTTCCAACATTATTTTTGGGGGAAAAAAGGCCATTTTTGGGAAAAAAATTGCCTTTTTTGCCTTTTTGGTGGCTCTCTCAGCAGCAATGCCACGATTTCTCATGAATAAAACACGTTTTAAGCGTGCTTAAACCCAGCCCAGCTCTCTGACCTGGCCTTGCTGCTGATAAAAGCCCCTCCTAAATCTCCAAAACCCCTCCTAAATTACCCCAATTACACTTTGAGAAGCACAGAGTTTGTTTCCACACTTTAAATTCAATTTCTACCCAGACCAAGAGAGAAAAACCTCGCAGCCCCTGACTAATTACAAACCACAACAGGTTAAAGCGTCCAGCACCAAGGTGATAAATATGGGCATAATTATGGGGTTATTGTAGGGGCTTAATTAGGAGAGCTGTAATTAGCTTCTTTTTCCCAATTTTCATTGAGCAGCTAACAAAAATCAAATGGAAAATATTTTCATTTAAAAGGCATTCTCAGCATAGGGGTGCTGGAAGAGATTTAATTATTCATTGTTAACAACAAGGGGGAGAAATCATTTCTTTTGTGCCAGGAGGGGGAAAAATTGAGGCTGTCAGGCAAAAAATGAACACCCAGCAGCTTTCACCTGGAATTTTGGGGTCAGCCTGTGAAGAATTCTGGGAGTCCTCGCCTTCACTTTGCTGAGGTTTCATTTGCAAACTTTAATTTGCAAAATTTCCTTCTTTTTCGGGGGGATGAGGGGGTGCTGGGCACTGCCAAGGAGAGCCTGGGCTCCCCAGATTCCCTGGGTTTGTCCCCAAGAACCCCAAATTTCCTCTTTTTTGGTTCTTAAGCATCCCAAATTTCCTGGGTTTCCATCCCCAGGCACCCCAAATTTCCTGGTTTTGTCCTCAAGCATACCAAATTTCCTCTTTTTTGGTTCTTAAGCATCCCAAATTTCCTGGGTTTCCATCCCCAGGCACCCCAAATTTCCTGGTTTTGTCCTCAAGCATACCAAATTTCCTCTTTTTTGGTTCTTAAGCATCCCAAATTTCCTGGGTTTCCATCCCCAGGCACCCCAAATTTCCTGGTTTTGTCCTCAAGCATACCAAATTTCCTCTTTTTTGGCCCCCAAGACCCCCAAATTTCCTGGGTTTAGGTCCTCAAGAACCCCAAATTTCCTCTTTTTAGGTCTCCCCAAGCCCCCCAAATTTCCTCTTTTTTTGTCCCCTAGCACTACAAATTTCATTTATTTTTTGTCCCCAAGAACCCGAAATTTCCTGATTTTTGATCCCCAGACTTCCCAAATTTCCTGGTTTTTGGTCCCCAAGCACCCCAAATTTCCTGATTTTTGGTCCCCAGACTTCCCAAATTTGCTGGTTTTGTCCCCAAGCATCCCTACTATCCTGATTTTTGGTCCCCAAGCACTCCAAATTTCCTAGTTTGGGTCTCCAAGAACCCCAAATTTGCTGGTTTTGTCCCCAAACACCCCAAATTCCTAGCTTTGGTCCTCAAGCACCCCAAATTTCCTCATTTTAGATCTCCAAGCACCCCAAATTTCCTGGTTTTTGGTTCTCAACCATCCCAAATTTCCTCTTTTTTTGTCCCCAAGCACCCCAACTTCCTGCTTTTTGATCATCAAGCCCCCCAAATTTCCTGGTTTTTGGTTCTCAACCATCCCAAATTTCCTCTTTTTTTGTCCCCAAGCACCCCAACTTCCTGCTTTTTGAACCTCGAGCCCCCCAAATTTCCTGGTTTTTGGTCCTCAAGCCCCCCAGATTTCCTGATTTTTGGTCCTCAAGCCCCCCAAATTTCCTGTTTTTTTGTCCTCAAGCCCCCCAAATTTCCTGTTTTTGGTCCCCAGGCCCCCCAAATTTCCTGCTTTTCGCTGCCTGCAGCTGCTCAGTGCTCAGGGGCTGTTTCAGGAGCATCTGAGGGGGCTCAAACACCAAGGCTTGGAGCTGAGCTCTGCTCCTCCCAGCACCCTTCCAAAGGAAAAAGGGGAGAGAACTGAAACTTTCCAGGTGTGGCTCTGCCAGGGAGAGCAGCAGACTTTAATTCAGGTGCCCAGGGTCTAATGAAGTCTTTCTGCTGCTGAAATTTGAAATATTTGTGCTGTCAGAGCCTCCTTGAAGCTGCCAGGGGCTGATGGAGCCTGGAAAACTCTCCCTCTGCATCCCACGGGATCTCCATCCTCTGACTAAGGGAAAAAAACCTCAAAAATCGCTCATTTTCCTTAAAGTTAAACAAAACAACCAATCCCTGATCCCTGCTGGCGTGGTGGCAACAGGGCACGAGGCATATTTAACATCTCAGGGATTTTTTTGGGGTTTTTTTTTTGGGTTTTTGGTTTTTTTTCCCCAAGGAACCCCTGGTGCTGCACATCCCCCTGGATTTGGCTGCTCATTTGCTGGCCCTGAAATCCTTCCCCGTGCCCGAGCTGAGCAGATGAGCCTCCAGGATCCTTCTCTTTCTTGTGCATTTAGGGGTGAAAAATCGGCAGCAAGGATTCAATTAGCATCATATCTGAGCCTGCATCCACATTTGGGCCTGACAAAAGCAGCATCTGCTTCATTAGGAGTTGCTTAATTAATCCTGACATGGCCAGTTATTATATGGTAACAATGTCCTCTGGGTGAATACTTAGAGGGGAAGGGATGGGGCAATCGTGAAAAGATGATTTTCTTCTTTTTTTCTTGGAGCTCCTTTCAGCATTAAAAGCTGGGGCTGACCTCGTGCCTTGCCTCATTCACAGAAAAGTGATTTCTGACTTAGGTGGGGCTGATTTTCCTCTGGAAGTTTGGGTTTATTTGTAAATTTATATATATATATTTATAGATATTTTTTTTTCAGCAGAAAATTCATGGTCAACACTGGCAGGAAGGTTCCTAAATCATGTGGGATGGATTCATGTGTTACACGACAATCAAAGTTCCCTTAATTGCTTTTCCTGAGGATGATTAAGACCAACTTAATCAGGCAGGATCTCAGTGGAAAAGCTGGAAATTCCTTTTGGAGCTCACAAACTCTTCTCAAGCAGCTCCACACCAGCTCCAGAGCTCTGCTGTGGTGGGGGGAGGTCAGCAGCTCTGTGGGAATTGCAAAAACTCCTGAATTTCCTCGGGGGAAATAGGAGGGTGTGTGCTGAACCCCAGGTTGGGGTGGCACGGCTGGCACAGAGCAGCTCAAATCCGGGATTTTGGGACAGGAAAGATTAAACTGAAGGAAAAAAAAAAAAAAAGCCCCCAAAAATAAAAAGCCTACAGGCAGAGAAGGGAGAAAAAAGAGTATTTATCTTTACACAGAAAATTTGTGTGCTAGTAAAGTGCAGGCAGTGACAGGAATTTCAATTATTTAATCAAAAAGAAAATGAAAGTGGCTTTAAGTGTTGTGATTTGAGCCAGTGAAATCTAATGTGGGCTCACATTGAATATGAGGAAAATGGGAAGAAAATTAAAGCTGCTCCTACTTAAATCATGTGGTTACAAATGGTAAATTAGTTTCTCGATGTTTTCATTTAAGTGTTTAAGTGGAAGGTTTTATTCTTAATGTAGTGTTGTGACACAGAATAAAAACCTTATCTGCCTCTGTGGCTTTTTTTCCTTCCCCCCTCCGTGCTGCTGCCTTAGAAGGCAAAAGGGGAAAAAGCTGCAGCGGTGTTCGGCTGCTTTTGTGAAAATTGGGAGGCAATATGCTTTCACCACAGGCTCATTAAGGTAATAGATGAATAATGTCTATTAAAAATGCACTAGGCTAAATGAATTTAATGTGTGTTGGGAGTGAAATTGCGCTTGCTGGAGGATGCAAACTGGAAAATTCTCTTTTTTTTTTTTTTTTTTTTAATTGTTGGAGTTATTGGGGGATTTAAGGGCTGGTGTCTGTTGGGGAGAAATGCACACACTGAGCTTTTATTTGAGAGAAAGCTCCAAAAATCCTAAAATCCCTCCGTATTTTGGGGAATATTTTCTATGATTTGTTGATTCCCATATTTCTGGCTGTTTTCCAAGCTTATGGCCCTGGCCTTGCAGGTTTTATTTTCCACATTATTTCCCAATAACCACTGGCAAACTCTTCTGCAAAGGCCAAGGCTGGATCCCTCCAAACTCAAAAGAAAACAAAATTGGGCAGAAAACCCTTTATTTTCTTTTTTTTTTTTTTTTTTTTTTCTTTTTTTAGGGGGTGATTTCACTGCACTGAGCATCTCCACCATCAACTCTGAAGAGCAGAAAACACATTTTTTATTTATTAGACACATTGTATTATATATTATATATTGCTATATATATTACACATTTCTTATGTATTATACACATATGGTAGGTTTTATATATATATTTATATATATTATACAACACATTTCTTATTTATTATACACATAATATAATATATATTATATAAATATAATATAACACATTATCACACCTATTATATTATATATTATTTTTTATATATAGTTAAATATATTACATAACACATTTATTATTTATTAACTAGGAACCCCATTCTTAAAAATTCCAGATGGATGGGGGTTCAATCAAGAGCTAAAAGCCCCAAATTTCCTCCCATCAGTAAGAACTCAGCACCTTTTGGGGTCTGTGGGATTTTCTGTCCCATTTCTCCAGCTCCAAAAGGAAATTCCAAACTCCCTGCAACGATTTTCAGGCATTTCCAGCCTCCTGCCCAGCCACTGCCATCAGGAATATTTGGGCAAATGTATATTTGAGGCTGCTAATTGTCCAATTAATTTGACTTAAATTGGCTTCTAGGAAGAGGAGATTTAGGGAGGCACATACAAGCAATAATTTTTTGTTGTTGTTGTTATTTTTTGTGCAGGAAATCACATTAACATCAAATATCAGGAATAGCTGGGCTGAATCCAAAGAATGGGTTTGAAAAATCATCTAAATATTTTGTTATTGATTTGTTAAGAGGTATCCACCTGCACCACTCCTTGTTTTAATGGACATTTGAATATTTCCCTTTAAAATTAATATTAAATTGAAAATTGATTTTAAAATTAACATTATATTACAATTCATACTGACCAATGTGAGGATGTGTTTTGAACATTAGACACCATTCCCTCACTCCGAATTCCTCACCCTTGGCAATGGCCAAAATGCCATTTCAAAATGCAATTTCCACTTTTAAAGCATTATTTGAAGATGCATTTGTGAGCTGCTGACTTGATTCTCTCTCTTTTTTTTTTTCCTTTTTTTTTTTTTCCTCCCCTTTCCCCCCCAGACCTGTCATCCACTTCTGGAGTGCTTAAAATAAAGTGCACAGATACAGAGGAAGCTGAAAGAGTCAAGAAGGCAGATGATACAGAAATGTTTTGAGCAAAGTGTGTTACTCAGATCTCTCTAAAGTACATTTCTGCCTTTATTCTGAAGGCCACAGCACAGCCAACTCTGCCTAATGCAAGTAATGGAACCAATCTCTCCCTTTGATCATCAAAAAGGTGATTTTTTTTTCCCCCCCCTCTATTTTTTTTTTTTTTGTTGTTGTTGTTGTTGTAAACCGGTTTTGCAATCTGTTTGGGGCAAACATGAAAGAAAACGAGGTTTAATTGTGCTGCAATAAAGGACGATTCTTTTAATGAGGAATTGTGTCACACGGGAGCACCTCGGGTGGGAGTGGTGGCTTTGGTGTGCAGAAGGTGATGGAGAAATTGGTGTGCTTGAACTGGGTGGCAAAACCAGGCCAAGTGCACTGGGGCTTGTCTTAAGTGATTTATAAAACCCACTTCCCACTAGAATTGACCTTTTAACTGCAGCCTGAATGGAGGGTAGAAAATGTGAGTGCAGAGTTTGTGAATAACCACAGAGAGGCCCAAAATACAAACCCAGAAACGGGAGCTGAGCAGGGATCTGGAGATACACGTGCTCATTCCCCAGTTTATCACCACTCCTTCCCCCTCTGCATTCATTGTGATGCATCAAATACAATTCAAATGCTTAGAAAAGTGGTTTTTTTATGTCACAGGTTGGATGTTTTCGGGGTGTTTGACACAGAGCTGGGTTTGGGGTCAGCCTGGATGCTCCCAACAGCTCCCCCTGACCTTGGAGTGCAGATTTTTGCTTTTGAGGCTTCACAAGGAGATATTTTAAAGCTGGAAAGCAAAAAAAACCCACTTCCCACTAGAATTGACCTTTTAACTGCAGCCTGAATGGAGGGTAGAAAATGTGAGTGCAGAGTTTGTGAATAACCACAGAGAGGCCCAAAATACAAACCCAGAAACGGGAGCTGAGCAGGGATCTGGAGATACACGTGCTCATTCCCCAGTTTATCACCACTCCTTCCCCCTCTGCATTCATTGTGATGCATCAAATACAATTCAAATGCTTAGAAAAGTGGTTTTTTTTAATGCCACAGGTTGGATGTTTTCTGGGTGTTTGACACAGAGCTGGGTTTGGGGTCAGCCTGGATGCTCCCAACAGCTCCCCCTGACCTTGGAGTGCAGATTTTTTTGCTTTTGAGGCTTCAGAATGAGATATTTTAAAGCTGGAAAGCAAAAAAATGAAATCAAAAAGGGCTCAAAGTATTGGTGGTTTCGTTTTCACAAAAACCATTCAGGTTTTTGTGCTCTGGTGGGTTTTATAGATGTGAACTCCTCGCTTCCTCCAGATTGGGATTATTTCTTTATTCCAGGGGTTTTTCTGAGTGGGAAAGGCACAAGAAATTTTCCAGATTGGGATTATTTATTTATTCCAGGGGTTTCTCTGAGTGGGAAAGGCACGAGAGGTTTTCCACAGAGCAGCAGAGTGTGGCAAATAATCAGAGGGAAGCCACAGAGAACAGGAGGAAAACAATGGGAGTAAAATCAAGGTTGGATGGGCAAGAAAGGGAAAAGGAGGATTATTGCACCCCAGAGGTTAAAAGCAAGGATGAACGTGGCTCATACACCACAAAATTAGGGAACAAGGGAGGTGCTGAGCCATTAGTGCCAAAAAGGGTGAATCAGAAGGTGCAGTTGTGCAGCTGATCGCTCCACAGCTGGAATGAAAGCAAACCACAGAGCATTAATGTGCTAAAGGCAACAACAAAGCAGGAGCACAGCAGCAGGAATGGATTTTTTTGCAGAGGATTAGCCCAGATCCCAAAGTACAGATGGTCCTGGGTGAAATAATCACCCCTGCCCCGAGGGAGTCAAGGTGCCCAAGGGTTGGGAGCACGGGCAGGAATTGAGAGGGAGCTAAAGGAAGAGGAGAACAACTGAAAGCAGGTCCCAGGGAAAGCTCTGAGCCTCTCTCCTGGTTTCTGATTCAAAGAAAGAAAGAAAGAAAGAAAGAAAGAAAGAAAGAAAGAAAGAAAGAAAGAAAGAAAGAAAAGGAATCTATCTTTCTTTCTCTTTCTGTCTTGTTGGTTTTTGGAAAACACCCTGCTGAAGCTGAAAACAACCATTAGGGAATGAAGAAGGTCTCAATTAATAAGTGTCACTCTTAAGGGAAGTGTTTGGATCAGACCTGCCAGTGTTACTGCTTGTACCCTCTGCCTTGAAGAAATGCTCGTGGTTATCAGATAGTGAGGCAAATTCTCAGTACAGAGATAAAATTCCAAATTTGGGAATGAAACTGCTGAGCCCACCCATGGATAGCTGAGTTTGGGAGCTGTGTAAGGAAACTATAATCTTTTTACACTTTCAATTTTTATATCTTTTTATCACCAAGATTCCTGCAGTTCTTGGTGGGATGGAAGCCTCAAAAGTGCCTTTCTGTCTCAAAACCTCCTCCCATCAGCAGCACTTCCATGCCCCTGTGCTTTTCCCTGGCACTTTAGCCCTGGAATTATTGTGCTTTTCTGGGGAGGTTCAGTGATTTTCTCAGAATTACACAGAGCTGGCTTTTAACCTGAGTGTTTACTGTCTGGGGATAAATCACCAGGCTGATTTCCCCTCTAGTTCCCATTCTGGCCTTTCTTCCTCTCAGCACAGATGAAGGACGGTGCCAGGCTGGGCAGTGACAAGGTTTGAGGCAGCAGGAGCCAAGGGATGAATTGTGAGCCTTGGAAAACTTGGATGGATCTTCCCCTGCCACCAGCCCTGGTTAGGAGGCAAACTCCTCTTTGAAGCTTCGTTTCCCCTCCCTCAGCCCTGGGACAACATCAAACCCATCCTCTGAGCTCTCCTGGAGGGCACAGCAGAGGCTTTCCAGCAGAAATATTCCCAATATCCCAAGCTGGAAGGGACCCACGAGGAGTTCAGCTCCTGTTCCTCTGTGGCAATGCTGAAATGGCAGAAAATTTCCAGTGCAATCCCAGCCTGGTGCTCCAGGGGTTCCCACTTTATCTCAGCTGAGCTGGACTGATAAAATCCCTCATCACCAGCATCCACCCCACTCCTGGATCTCCCACAGGGCGCCAGCTGAGCCTGAGCTTGAGGAGAAAAGGCAGATTTGGGCAAAGGCTGACAGGATGGGGATGGGGAGAGGGGCTGGGGCAAGCCAGGAGTGCTTTTGCCTCTCCCCAGCAGCAGAGGCACTCGGGAACGGGAAGTGGCTGAGGCTGAAGCATCAAGCAGGGAACATTCTCCATTAAGCCAAGCTTTGTGTTCAAAAGCCCTCTCTCGGTGTTACATGTGTGGCTACTCAGCCCGGGCTCTTCAGCCCTCTCTGCTGCAGCCAGGCTCCCATTTGGAGCCTATCAAGGCTGTCTGTTTTTAATTTAACCCTTCCTTTTGGAGTGGATTGGTCTTGAAAGGCATGAAAAGGCCGGGCTCCAGAGCTACCTCACCTCTTCAAGAGGCACGGCAAGGTAAGTGCCTGTATTTTTAAACCACACCAAATTTATCCCTAATGCAGCACACTGAAATAAAGCTGCCAGCATCAATGCAGACGTGCTGACCTTTGAAATGACCCCCGAGGTTTTAAGTCAAATACATTTCTGTTTTCCTGGGTAAAATTCTCCAAATGATCTTAAGTGCGCGAGTGTTTATCTAAGCAAAGCACGTGTGTTATTAAATCAGAAACTGGGGGTGCATCACTTCCAGCAAGTTTATAAACCTCTTGGAACCCGTAAAAATCAGTTTTATTTTATTGAAGGAGCAAGAGACAAGCTCCACAGCAGTGTGGCTGTGGTTAGATAAAAATCAGGAGGTCTGAGTTGTTTGGGGTGCCAGGCTGGGATTCACAGAGTCCCCCAAGGTGTTTAAGGGGGGTGGAAAAAGGGACAATTCTGCTCCTCCCCTCTGGTCCCTCCCAGGTGGGGAGGGAAACACCCAGTGAGTGAAACAGCCCAGTCTGTAGCTTCTTCCTGCTTTCCCCTGATCCTGATCCTGATCCCAATCCTGATCCTGATCTTGGTCCTGATCCCAATCCTGATCCTGATCTTGGTCCTGGTCCTGCTCCTGCTCCCAATCCTGATCCTGATCCCAGTCCTGATCCGGATCTTGGTCCTGATCCCAATCCTGATTCTGATCCTGATCCCAATCCTGATTCTGATCCTGATCCTGATCCTAATCCTGAGCCCATCCTGATCCTGATTCTGCCCCTGATCCTGGTCCTGGTCCCGATCTTGGTCCTGATCCTGATTCTGATCCTGATCCCGATCCTGATCCCGATCCTGGTTCTGCCCCTGATCCTGATCCTGGTCCTGATTCCTATCTTGATCCTGATCCTGACCCTAATCCTGATTCTGGTCCTGCCCCTGATCCTGCTCCTGCTCCCAATCCTGATCCTAATCCTGATCCCATCCTGATCCTGATCCCGATCCTGATTCTGCCCCTGATCCTGATCCCGATCCCAATCCCGATCCCAGTCCTGCTCCTGCTCCCTCCCGGATGTGTCCCAGCCCTGCAGGCTGGGGCAGTTCCTGCTGGGACACCTCCCCAGGGTCTGTTCTCCCGGAGTTTGGCAGAAATGGGATGGGGTGTGTAGGGAAAAGCCTCTGTTTGTGTCCGTGTGTCTGTCCAGCCTGGCAAAGGGCTAATCCAGGGTCCAGGGGCTCTCCTTGGCGTGTTTGGGGGTCCCTGGATGAAATCCACTCTGCTGGGTCCCCATCACCCCAGGGACCTGCAGAACAGGAAAATGGGGGGAAACAGGGAAAAGACTTTTGGGGCAGAGAGGACCAGCCATACCTGGCACCTCATTTCTGTCATAAAGAGCTGTGAAATGTTACATTTTTAAAAAAATCCCTGGATGTGAGCACTGCAGGGGCGATCTCCCTTCCTGGGGCTGCCGTCCTGTCCCTTCTCCACAGACGGGGTTTGTCCCCTCTGCTTCTTGCCCCAAACAGCAGCAGGGAGAGGCTGCGTGCCTGAAGTGCCACTGCACAATTTGGGGACGAGTTTTGCTGCAAACGAACACCGAGACGCAGCCCCTTTCCTGCTCTGCCTCATTCGGCTGTGCCCCAAATCACGAGGAACTCCAAAAATCAGCCCTGTCCATGTTCCGAGCCCTGGAGCTGTGACCAACCTGGCTGCTGTGACACAGCTTTAATCTTTCAGCTCCGCTTTAAATACCCAAATTTACCCCCCCAGGAGCCGGTGAAGCCCCGGCCCCCCCGGCAGAGCAATCGCAGCTGATGAAATGGCTCCTCAAGCAGCTTAGGCACTCCTCATTAACAGGGGGCATTAGCCCCATTTCATCACCCTGAATTCATCGACTCGATTGCTCCAGCACAGAAAGTTGGATTTTAAAATCCTTCAGCCAAAAAAAAAATCCTAATGGTCATTTCAGGAGGGGCCACTGCAATAGGATTATTGCATTTATCTATTTATTTTTATATCTAGTAATTTATTTATCTATTTTTTCCTGGGGGAAAAGAGGGAGAGGAGAGGAGAGGAGAGGAGAGGAGAGGAGTTTTTTATTTATTTTTCTTGAGGAAAAGAGGGAGAGGAGTTGAGGTTTTCCCCCGGTCCTGGGGGACTCCCCCTGCTTTTCTGCATCAGGATAGCTGATCCGTGCTCTGCAGGAAAGGATCCGTGTATAAATACATATAAATATTTCAAAAGATAAAAAAATCATATTACACATAAGAACATAACACGCGATATAAACACAAATATAACGTATAAAACACAAGCAGGACCGCGTATATATTTAATATCCATAAACACACGCCGCTGGGCTGTGTGAGCGCTGCCTGTGCGCGGCACAAAACAAAGTGTGGGTGTGGTTCCAGCGGGGCACAAAACGCTCCCGGGGGGTTCCCGCTGGCACCGGGAGCCCTCCGGCCGCCCCCTCCCGAATTTTGGCAGCCGCTGAAGGCGGCACCGCTGTCCCAGCCCGCGGCTGTGCCCGGCAGAGCCGGCGCCGCTGCGGAACTCGCGAGCCGCGCACTCATTAAAGGCCGGCGCTCGCCGCTTCTATTCTTTCTCAGCTTTTTTCCTCATCTATTTACCATTTACCAGCTCATCCATATGGAAGGCATGGCTTGCACTTGCCTGAGAACTGTACTTTTAGGACTAATTGATTCGGGTAATTAATTTGTTCTACCTGCTGGATCAGATGGAAACGCTGTCCGTGTGCCCAAGGATTAGCACTTGTCTTTCTAACATCTTTCTTAATTATCTAATAGCATGGGTTGTGCGAATTCTGCCTCTATTAGAACACTTTTACTATTAACGGGAGTGATTGGAATTGTGATGACAACTCGATTTCAACAAATTAGAGCTTAAAATCAGGAGATGAAGGAGAAGCGCCTTCTTTTAATTTCCCTGAGTTTAACATCAATAATTAGAGCAATTTTCCGAGATGCGAACCGAAATTATCTCGGCTATGATGTGGTGTATCACCCTCATTTGAGCAAATTGACTCCGGGGAAATGAATGGCGCAGATTAGAGGGGTGAGGAAAGGCAAAAGAAAAAAAAAAAAAAAAAGAAAAAGAAAAAGACAAACAGAGGAAAAAAAAAAAAAAAAAAAAAAAGGGGAAAACCCCCCAAAAAAAAAAAAAAAAAAAAAAAAAGTGTTGGCGCAAGGGATGGGAACAAAACCGTGGTGGGATGAGAGCTGAGAGCGACGGGAGAAGCTGCGTGCGCGGGGACAGGTTGGGAGCGGAGCGTGGGAAAGAACCGCTGGTTTATTTTCCCCCAAGTTTTGCTCTTTATTTATTTATTTTTTAAAGGAAATAAATAAATAAATAAAGGAGATCTCCCCCGGGTTGGGGGAGACGCCCCAAGCGGGGGCTGAGCGGGGCTGAGCGCGCTGGTGCGGAGCGCTGCGCGGGGGAAGCTGCGGAGCGGCTCCTCGCCCCCTCCTCGCCCCCTCCTCGCCCCCTCCTCGCCCCCGGGGTGCTTTGGGTGGCCCGGCAGGCCCGTTCCCCCCCCGCTCGCCATTGGCTCAGCGCGCATCCCCCTTCCCAGCGCGCCTCAAAGGCGCGCAGCGCCCCGCGCATCCCCGACGCGCCCGCCTCGCCTCCCCCGGCTCCGCCAGCTTCCTTCTGCCTGGGGGATTCATTTTTTTTTTTTTTTAATATTATTTCTATTTATTTTGACAGAGGATTTAAAACAATATTAATTTAGGTCGTTCGCGCAGCGCCCCGCGCATCCCCGACGCGCCCGCCTCGCCTCCCCCGGCTCCGCCAGCTTCCTTCTGCCTGGGGGATTCATTTTTTTAAAAAAAAATTATTATCTCTATTTATTTTGACTGAGGATTTTAAAACAATATTAATTTAGGTCGTTATTTTAATTTCTTCCCTGCCGGCCCGCGGCGCAGCCCCCTCTCTCCGCTCCCGCAGCTCGGCGCGGCTCCGTCCCTTGCCCGCTGCCCGAGGGGGCCCGAGCTGCCATGAACCTCAACTTCACCTCGCCCGTGCTCCCCGTCTCCACGGGCCGGCCCACCTCCTTCTTCATCGAGGACATCCTGCTGCACAAGCCCAAACCCCTGCGGGAGGTGCCCCCCGAGCACTTCCCCGGCTCCCTGGCCTCCCGCGTGCCCCTCTTGGACTATGGGTACCCCCTGATGCCCACCCCGACCCTGCTGGCGCCTCACCCGCACCCCGCCCTGCACAAGCCGGAGCATCACCACCACCACCCCTATTTCCTCACCACCTCGGGTAAGTGCGGCAGCACCTGCCGGGTTCGGGGCGTCCAGGCGAGGACTGGGGTGGGGACAAGGGTGAAAGAGCCGCTCTGGGGCGGCCAGGCATCTTTTACATCCCTGCATCCCCCAGGGCAGGAGCCGCTCGCCCCGCGGCAGCCACTTCGTTAGTGGATGCCCGAAACCTTGAGGCTTTCCCTCTTTTTTTATTTTAATTCTATTTTTTTTTAAATCGCTTTTATTTTGGGAGCGATAACCTCGCTTTTCCCTCTCGCTGTCCAAGCGGGCTCCGCTTTTCCGCTCCTCTCCCGCACCCTGCGGCTCTGCCCGGGCCCGTTCCTTTTCTGCAAGGAGAAAACCTCCAAAGTTTCCCAAGCCGTGTGCCAGCGGGGCCGTGAAGGATGGCTTCCCCCTTCCCAGTCTTTTCCAGGGCTCCCTCCGTTTTTTTCGTGCCCGTTTCGTTGTGGTTTCCTCGCCGGGAGGGTTCAGGTGGCCGCTCCAGCCTCGAGTCCCCTCCGGTGGTTTCACCTTCCCGGGGGTGGGCTCTTGGAAAACCCCCCCGTTTTCATCACAACAAAACCCCCAAACCCAAACCAATCCATCGACCTCAAAAACGAAACAAACGAAAAAACCACAAAAAAATCAAAGAGGCGGAGGGAGAGGCCACCGCGAGCAGGAAAAGTCCGGCATTCCTGGGGGTCCAGGCTCCTTGGCCGACCGCAGCGAGGGTCTCCGCCCCGTGTCCCCCCAGGAATGCCGGTGCCAGCGCTTTTCCAGCACCACGCTCACGCCGAGCTGCCCGGGAAGCACTGCCGCCGCCGCAAAGCCCGCACCGTGTTCTCCGACTCGCAGCTCTCGGGCCTGGAGAAGAGGTTTGAGATCCAGCGGTACCTCTCCACGCCCGAGCGGGTGGAGCTGGCCACGGCCCTCAGCCTCTCCGAGACGCAGGTAGGGGAGCGGGGACTGGCTCTGGCACCTGTGCCCAGCCCTCATCCCATGGGTCCAGCATCGCCCGCATCCCTGGGAGCATCCCCCAAATCCTGAGGAGCATCCCTCAAACCACAAAGAACATCCCCACATCCCGAAGAGCATCTCCCCATCCCGAGGAGCATCCCTCAAATTCCAAAGAGCATCCCCACATCCCGAGGAGCATCCCTCAAATTCCAAAGAGCATCTCCACATCCCGAGGAGCATCCCTCAAATTCCCGAGGAGCATCCCCACATCCCATCATTTCCGCATTCCCCAGATCACTTCCAGCATCCCAGCACTCCGTGCAGCATCCCCGCATCCCCTCCAGCATCCCCCACATCACATCCCCTCTGAATCCCCACATCCCACCCTCTCAGCACCCCCGCATCACTTCCAGCATCCCCGCATCCCCTCCAGCATCCCCACATCCATCACACCCAGCGCTCTTCTCCCTATAATTTTTACCTTTTCCCCCCCTTTTTCCCCTCCAATCTTTCTCCCACTTCCCCTCCTTTCCCCAGGTGAAAACCTGGTTCCAGAACCGCCGCATGAAGCACAAAAAGCAGCTGCGGAAGACGCAGGACGACCCGAAGCAGGCGGGCGGGGAGGAGAGCCGGGAGCAGAGCTCCCCCGAGCCCGAGCTGCCCGAACCGGCCGGGGCCGAGCCCCGCAAGGGCCCCCCCGGCCCCTTCCTGCTGCAGGACCCCGAGGACGAGGTGGACATCCTGGAGGAGGGGGACATGTGCCCCCACCGCCTCTAGGACAGCCGGGGCTCTCCTGCCTCTCCTTGCCCACCTGGCCCCGCAGGTCGCCCCCGAACGGCTCGGGAAGGGGGTCACGGCTCGGGAAGGGGGTGTGGATGCGAGGGGAGCCCCCTCCCCTCCCCGGGGCGAAGGTGGCGATGCCCCCGAGGGGGCCGGGACCCCGCGGTGCCGCCGGTGCCCCCCAGCATCACCCCAAGGCTGGGCTTGGCTCGGAAATCTGGGGCGGGGGGGAGTGAAACGAGCCGAGTTTGTTTTAGCTTCCCCCTTCCCTCCGAAGTGTCGGAGTTTTCCTCGCTCCCCGAACTTTCCTCGGGTGTAAAATAAATGTATACTCGTGGCAGCGTGTTGTGGTTCCTGGGAGCGGCAGGCAGGGCAAATTTCACCCTTTATTCCCCGAATCCCTAAATCCTCGCCGCTCTTCCCACGCTCGCCGTCTCCATCCCCAGCGCGGGAGGTCGGGCAGAGCTCCCAAGACGTGCATAAATAAAAAGAATTGTAAGAAAAACCCTCCGAAGAAACAGGTAAGGCAAAAATTCCGGTTTATTTCATTCCGCTCTGGGCAAGTGAAGGGGGAGCATCTCCAATAATTCGATTTTGCCACGGCTGCACGGAGCAAACAGCGCTCCCAGCCAGAAAAAAGGGATTTTCTACAACTTGGAGAAGTGTCGGCAGCCTGATTCCTGCCCGGCTTCCAGGTGTGGATGCCGGATAATTCCCTTTTTCTCTGAAACAGCCCCGGAGCGGGTCCCGCGTTCGGCTCCCGCCTCCGTGCGCTCCGCGTCGCGCTCGGCTGGAGCAGCCCCGGCCGCGCTCGCTTTGCCTTTACCTCCCTGCCAGGGAAATGGGCTTCATTTCCAGGTAAATTCAGATTTTTTTATCGTTTAGTTTTGGTTTTGGGCTGAGCTGCTGGCTGGGAAATGCGCCGGGAGCGCGGCGGAGGTTCAGCATCTCCGGGGTGAGGTTGGGATTGGGAATTTCGCCGGGAAAAGCCTGGAGCGGGGGCTGTGCTGGCTCAGAATCCCCGGCTGCAGCAGCACCACGGCGGCGTGGCGGTGTCTCCTTAGGTTATTTAATTTATTTCCTTATTTTTTTGGGTTTTTTTCCGCGGGAATTTCATTGGGTTGTCTGGCGTTTTAGCACTTTCAGGGCATTTTGGATGATGGGACATGTCGTTTTGTGAGGGGAAAACGTTTAATTTTCCTGTTTAATATATAAAATATAGACGATTGAAATGTGTATGTTCGCTTCCTTTTTTTTGTCAGTCTGCCTTTCTAGTTTTTTACATGTAAAATAAAGATCACACACTGTGTAGAGGAAAACCCCCAATACCCATCCACCTTTCCAGGAAAAGCTGCTTGCTTTTAATAAATCCTTTCAGGACAATTATTTCTACTAACAAAAAGCCACCAATCTCCCTAAAAATTAGGATTTTTAAAGCAACCACTTTGCTCGGCGGGGTTTGAAGCAGAACCGGCTGGAAATGCCGCTCCCAGCTCCGGTTTCTCCCCTTCTCCCAATTCCCGTGGGTAATGAAGCGATGGGAATTAAAAAACCTGGAATTTTCACACTGTTCCTGTGTATTTTGCTCTGTGATTATTGTCATTCTCCCCCCCAGCACGCGTTTCAATGGGAATTATTAAAATTAACATCAGATCCACATGATATTTATGGGATCTATATGATATTTATGGGATCCACATGATATTTATGGGATATTTTTTTTTTTGGCCGCATCTGCCGCTGCTGTTCCAGGGTCGGGAACGGCTCGGGGCTGGCCTGGCTCTGCCCTGAGGTGCAAGATCTATGAGGAAAAGGTCAAAACACGACTCAAAAACCTCTCAAACCTCTGCTGTTGCTCCCCTGCCACTCCTGGAACTCCCTTCCCAAAATATTTCTGCCCATCAATAAAACAAACCCCGCAACCATTTTCACCTCTGGGCGGTTTTAGGCACCTTGGCTGCCAATTAAAGCTAAAAATCAGATTAAAAAGCGGTCCCACACAGAGTGGGAATATTCCCATTCCCAGGGACGTCCCCATCCCAGCGGGACATCAGAGCCTTGCAGGGAACAGGAATGCTAAAAATCAGATTAAAAAGCGGTCCCACACAGAGTGGGAATATTCCCATTCCCAGGGACGTCCCCATTCAGAGCCTTGCAGGGAACAGGAAGATTTGGGAATCTGCTTATCCCACAAAGTTTGGTGCAAAAACACCTGAAATTGAGAGAGCTGAAGGAAACACTGCCAGAGAAATCCCCTGTGCCAGCAGCCAGCTCCTGCCACGCTGGACATGGAAAAATGTCATTTCCAGAGAGTCTGGGCAACGTTTGGGAACAGGTTATTGGAGAATGGAGATGGTTCTGGGGAAAAGGAAGGGCTGGGCAGGCGGTTTTTGTTTCTGGCAGAGATTTTTTCACTTGGAATAAATGAAATGAGGTCTTATTCAGAGAATTTTTCACTTGATATATATGAGAAATAATTTGGTATCTCACTCGATATAAATGATGCAATTCACTTGATAGAAATGTGAAATAAAAATATAAATATTCAGAGATTTCTTCACTTGGAATGAATGAAATGAGGTTTTAGTCAGAGAATTTTTCACTTGGAATAAATGAGATGAGGTTTTAGTCTTGGATCCTGACTTATTCCAAGCAGCCGACTTTTCCCTGCTCTTCCCCAAGAAGCTTGAGGAGTAGGGAAGAGATTTAGAGCTGCTCTCTCTCTTCTTAAAAAACCAAAACATTTAATGTGTTCATTTGGGGAGTGCTGGAGTGGAAGTGACTCACAGGAAATAATTGCTGGCACCAGGAAATGTCAGTGGATTTCCTATTTTTCAAGACTGATTTTCATCAAAATTCTTCAGTGAGTTTTTCTGAAATGAAATCGTGTTCTGGTGATTAATTTAAGACACAAGTGGTTAATGCTTTTTTTGGTTGTTGTTTTCATTATAGAAAATCAAACCCCAATCCATAAAACCCTGCCATGAACCTTTGTTTTCTGTTTTGATTTTGAGCACTTTCCTGCTTGCTGCCTTAAACATTTTGAACTTTTATGGGTTTGGAAAGCTGTTCCAACCCCAATTTTTTAATTCTGTGGCCAGAGCTCCATAAAAGCAGCTCAGATATAGGTTCAAAGGGCATTTATAGAGCAAATAATTTGAATTTCTCACTGTTGCACACACATGGAGGAGCTGGGGAAGGTGTAAATAACCCATGGCCAAGCCCAGCAACAATCTGGACATGATGTAAACCTCTTTTTATGATTCCTCTCCTCATTTCTCTCTGCTGCCTGCTGGATTCAGAGCATTTTTTTATCACTGATGTCCTGAGGAGCTTTTCCTCTCTTCTAGTCTCACCAACAAACAGCACCACCCCAACCAACTGCAAACTCCTGCTTGGACGGTCCTGGCTTCAAAAGCGGCTGATTTTGGTCTTGGGGTTACCTTGTTCCTAGATTTCTTGTTACTTGGGTTGGTTTCTAGATTTCCTGTTTCTTGGATTTATCTTGTTTCTAAATTTCTTCTTTATTGGATCCATCTTGTTACCAGATTTCTTGTTTCTTGGGTTTCTTTTGTTTCTAGACTTCTTGTTTCTTGGATTTATCTTGTTTCTAAATTTCTTCTTTATTGGATCCATCTTGTTACCAGATTTCTTGTTTCTTGGGTTTCTTTTGTTTTTAGACTTCTTGTTTCTTGGATTTATCTTGTTTCTAGGCTTCTTGTTTCTTGGATTCATCTCGCTACCAGATTTTTTGTTTCTTGTATTAATATTGTTTCTAGATTTCTTGTTGCTTGGATTTATCTTGTTTCTTAATTTCTTGGGTTTACCTTGTTTCTAAATTTCTTGTTTCTTGGATTTGTTTCTAAATTTCTTGTTTCTTGGATTCATCTTGTTACCAGATTTCTTGTTTCTTGGGTTTCTTTTGTTTCTAGACTTCTTGTTGCTTGGATTCATCTCGCTACCAGATTTTTTGTTTCTTGTATTAATATTGTTTCTAGATTTCTTGTTGCTTGGATTTATTTTGTTTCTAAATGTCTTGTTTCTTGGGTTTACCTTGTTTCTAGATTTCTTGTTTCTTGGATTTATTTCTAAATTTCTTGTTTCTTGGATTCATCTTGTTACCAGATTTCTTGTTTATTTGGTTTATCTTGTTTCTAGATTTCTTATTTCTTGGGTTGGTTTCTAGATTTCTTGTTTCTTGGGTTTATCTTCTTTCTAGACTTCTTGTTTCTTGGCTTCATCTCGTTACCAGATATTTTGTTTCTTGGATCAATATTGCTTCTGGATTTCTTGTTTCTTGGACTGATCTTGTTTCTAGATTTCTTGTTTCCTGGATTATCTTGTTTCTAGAGCTTGGGTGAGCCCCTGGTGGTGCCCTGCAGGGCTGGGCACAGCTGCTCCCAGCATTAACCCCTGGGGAGGCAGGAGGGTGCAAATGTGTGATCCTGACCCACAGTGGCTGTTCTCCCTGGCAGGGCGCATTTCTTCAAGGAAAAAGTTGGTTTTAAGGTTTTATCACCCAGCTTGGTGGTGGCAGGGACGAGTGCTCACATTTCAGCCATTCCTCATACCACTGCAGGAAACCACTGAAACCACTGAAACCATTCCTGAAACCACTGAAACCATTCCTGAAACCACTGAAACCATTCCTGAAACTACAGAAACCATTCCAGAAACCACTGAAACCGTTTCAGAAACCACTGAAACCATTCCTGAAACCGCTGAAACCATTCTTGAAACCATTGAAACCGTTCCAGAAACCATTCCAGAAACGACTGAAACCATTGAAACCATTCCAGAAACCACTGAAACCATTCCTGAAACCATTCCTGAAACTACAGAAACCATTCCTGAAACCATTCCTGGAACCACTGAAACCACTGAAACCATTCCAGAAACCACTGAAACCGCTGAAACCATTCCAGAAACCACAGAAACAGTTCCTGAAACCACTGAAACCATTCCTGAAACCATTCCAGAAACCACTGAAACCATTCCAGAAACGACTGAAACCATTCCTGAAACCACTGCAGGTGCTGCCCCAGACTGGGATTCTCTGGTCTTGTGCATCCTGCTGGCTCTGCTGGGGCTGATTTGATTTAAATATTTTGCTTTTCTAATCTGAAATACATTAAATTTTGGCCTTTGACTTTCTAATCTGAAATACATTAAATTTTGGCCTGTGACTTTCTAATCTGAAATACATTAAATTTTGGCCTGTGACTTTCTAATCTGAAATACATTAAATTTTGGCCTGTGACTTTCTAATCTGAAATACATTAAATTTTGCCTTTCTGATCTGAAATACATTAAAATTTGGCCACTTTTGAGGTGGATGCTCATTGGTCTTTTTTTTCTTTTGTGCCATATCTGTGAAATGCAGGGAAAGTCTGAATTTGTATTGAGGTAGTTTAAAAGATTTTCATTCCATGTAAAAATGTCACTTTGTGGGATTTAAAACACCCAAAACACCAGGACAAACAGATTTCCTAAATGGTTTGTGAGATGACCATCATCAGTGTTTATATAAAAAAAAAAAAAAAAAAAAAAAGTGGTTATTAAAATAATAATAAAATATATAAAAAATGTGCTCTTCCAGATGCAGCATCATATCCAAATTTCCAAATTTCTCACAGGTTTAATACTTAAATATTTCCTAAAAATTCATTGTTTTATTAAAACAAAAACCCCAAATGAACAGATTTCTCCCCTAATTTCTGGGAGAAGGATGCCAGCCAGGGAGGAAGACGATCAATTAAGACATTAAGCATTTTGCACCACATGGACACATCTGCATGGCAGCCAAATAATGCAGCCATCAGCTCATTTTCAGGGGGCTGTTGCCTACTTCAACTCAGCCCTCAGATCAAAGAGAAAATGTCTGCTTGCATTTTCTCATCAGAAAAGGGATGCTAATTTAGGTTCCTTAATGTGTGGTGATAAGAGACTTCTTCAATTAAATGAATTCTATAGGGCAGAAAAGCAAAAAAAAAGGGGGGATACAAAGGGAGTCAGGCTGGAAAGGCAGAAGTTCTCATTAAATCAAAGGTCCAATATTCATTACCTCCAGCATCTGGGGCTAAACACTGAACATGGAGCTCATCAAAGGGGCTTTAATGGGTTAAATTGAGAATATAATCTAATTAAAATATTAGATACGAGTAAATAGCTCTTTGATATTCATCTGAAGGTTTCATTAAAACAGGCACTTGAGGTTTGGATTAAGGGGGGATTATCACTTTTGAGCAGGAACAACAAGTTGAGGTGCCCTGAGCAGAAATGCTTCAGAGTGTTACAGTTTGGTTTGAAAATAAAAGTAGGAAAGAAGAGCATGGAAGCATTTCCCAGCCTGGCAGTGCCCAAAGGAGAGGGAAAAGAGGTTGAGGAAGAGGAAGGTTCTGTTCAGAAGCTGGAATTGGATGCTGTAAGTGACAAAAATGTCATGGAAAACATTCCCCCTGCAGCCTGACCCGAGTTCCTGTGTTGGACAATGCTTCTTCCACCAGGGCTTCCCAAAATATTCTTAATATTTCTCAATATCCCCCAAAGTGTCCTGAACTTCCAGCTGTGAGTCCAAGGGCTGATTCAGCACAGGAGGGAAATTCCTGCCCCTCAGGAGGGTTTGAAGCAAGGCCAGGTCCCTTCTCCATGAGGAAGGGCAGAATTGGGATTGCTTTGCTCAAAATTAAATCGGGAGCCTCCTATAAAACAGAGACAAAATAAATGGGATAAAGCAATTCCACATCATCACAGGGTGGTTGGGTTTGTCTCAATATTCCCAAAAAATGCTCATCAGGAGGGTTTAAAGCAAGGCCACGTCCCTTCTCCATGAGGAAGGGCAGAACTGGAATCACTTTTCCCCATATTAAATTGGGAGCTCCCGTTAAAAAGAGACCAAATAAATGGGATAAAGCAATTCCACACCATCACAGGCTGGTTGTCTGAATATTCCCTATAATGTCCTGAACTTCCAGCTGTGAATCCAAGGGCATGTGTCAACAATGGAAGGGAGGTTCCTGCCTTTCAGGAGGGTTTAAAGCAAGGCCAGGTCCCTTCTCCAT